TTTTGAGTACATGGGGTCGGTTGTACTCATACTGCACTTCCTGCACATTGCGTGCAGATCGCGGATGCCGATGGTTGCTGGATTTGAAGGCGACTTGCGTTCCTGCTGTAGCTGCCTCTTGTTTACGGTAGCCTTAGATCTATAAATTCTGTTTATGTAATTTTCAAACAGAAGATGTATTTTCTTTATATCAGCTTTGTGACATCTATTCTTAGAAGCTCATGATTTGTACTACCAGTCCTTGGGGAAATGTAAAAGATTCAGAAAATTTCTTTATTTAATTGCTTAATTAATATATTGAAATTGAATCATTAGAAGTTGGCTTACCTAGCGGGTTAGGTTAGGTGCCATCACAACTAGTGAATTTGGGTCGTCAAATAGTTTTTTTTTATATTTACTTCTCTTTTTTGTTTTTTTGGTTAGAGAAGCTTCCTACGGTGGTTTCTTAAATATTTTAAAGAACACTCGTACACTTTTTAAAAATCAACATCTAATTCTGTAAAATCCACTTGATTTCCAAATAATTGACTATACGAATTTGTCAATTTACTCGAATATGCAAGTGGAAAAGCTAAAAGGGACTGCTATTTCACAATATTATAAGAAAGTAATAACAAAAGTTTAAAAGTATTTACAATTGACCTTTAGATTACCTATTTTCAAATTCGCAAGCGGACAATTCAAATTCAAATTTATAACATTTTAATCAGAAGCTGTCATAGTCTAATATTTTTTACGTGACTAATATTGTGGAAATGACACCAAGTACTCACTTTTAAGTATATTATTTTAAAATATATTTACAGTTTTACAATGTGTTTAAAAATTAGCTAATTTCGCTCAAACTTCAGGACACAACGTCCTAAAAGTTTAAACCTAAAAGTTCAAATTTTATGATATCGTGTCCTAAAGTTAAAAAGTTATGTTCAGAAGTTCGAATCTTATGTCCGGAATTTTAAATTAGTAGTTCAAAAATTCAGGACACTTAGTCCTGAATTTCAAATTAGCAGCTCAAAAATTCAGGACACTAAGTCCTGAATTTTCAAATTCAGGGTACTTAGTCCTGAAGTTTAGGTGAATTGGCTAATCTTTAAATACATTGTAAAATGTGGATATATTTTAAATAACGGGCTTAAAAGTGACTATTGCTGCACTTCGCCCACAAATATTAGAACTCAAATGATATTAATAAAGACCCAAATAATCTCGCATCTAATTCTAGGATTATTATACCTTATCCACATACCAAACGATCCCTTCAAGTTCATATCTTATGCAACAATTATCTAAAAGTGATACAACAACGGGGCATTTGTATCTATACCCGCTTTTTGGGTCACGTTTTAACTTATGCCCGCTTTGCAAAAAAAGTTACAAACGTACCCACTTTTTCGCGTAACTTCAGCGTACGGGGCTGAAGTAGAAAAGCAATCACGCAAAACTTCAGCATTCTAGTAGACGGGCCTGAAGTAGCAAAAATTGCTGAACCAAGTGTGCTGAAGTTTTTGTTTGTAATTGTTGAACTTAAGCATAGTAGCTGAAGTTTTGTTCTCTATTTGCTGAAATTTTTGTTTGTAATTGCTGAACTTAAGCATAGTAGCTGAAGTTTTGTTCTCTATTTGCTGAAGTTTTTGTTTGTAATTGCCGAACTTAAGCATAGTAGCTGAAGTTTTGTTCTCTATTTGCTGAAGTTTTTATTTGTAATTGCTAAACTTAAGCATAGTAGCTGAAGTTTTGTTCTCTATTTGCTGAAGTTTTTATTTGTAATTGCTGAACTTAAGCATAGTAGCTGAAGTTTTGCTCTCTATTTGCTGAAGTTTTTGTTTGTAATTGCCGAACTTAAGCATAGTAGCTGAAGTTTTGTTCTCTATTTGCTGAAGTTTTTATTTGTAATTGCTAAACTTAAGCATAGTAGCTGAAGTTTTGTTCTCTATTTGCTGAAGTTTTTATTTGTAATTGCTGAACTTAAGCATAGTAGCTGAAGTTTTGTTCTCTATTTGCTAAACTTCAGCATGTTTTAGCTGAAGTTTTGTTCTATATTTGCTTAACTTCAGCTGATTTATGCTTCTAACGAATCTCATTCTCCTCAAGCTGCTTCCACTTCCATCTCCGTTTCAAAACAAATACTCCTACGTAGTTGGCAAAATTAAAAGGGGTTGTGCAAATGAGAAAGCTTTCAGTTTTTGTTTCTATTGGATTGGCTCATACATCCTCCAAATTCCACAGCAGTACTAATAATTGTTCTTCACTTTTACTGCAATTCCGCTTCTCCCTCCATCAATCCTGGTCAGTCCCTTCCCCTAATTCTTTCAACTTCTTTTCCCTCTCTCTCTCTCTTTATTTTCTAGTGAATAAACTCTTCCCATCTGATTTCTTATGTTTGAATGAATTGGCAATGAAAACATGGAATTTCAACTACCAATCTTGTTCCATGTTGGGCACTGCACTGCATTCGAACTGTCGAGTCAAAGACAGTTGGAGAAAGAAAACTTTGGAGAAGAAAGGAGGAAGAAAGGAGCGCACAGGTAACAGGGAGAAGGAGAGGGACCTGAAGTTGTAAAAATTAGGGTATAGGTTAAATAATTTTAAAAATATGGGTATAGGTTAAATGGGGGCGACCAAATAGGGCGCCCCGTGCAATTTTTACTACAACAGCAACATACCCAGTATATCCCATACCATGGGGTCTAGGGAAGGTAGCGTGTGCGCAGACCTTACCCCTACCTTGTGAGGATAGAGAGGTTGTTTTCGATAGACCCTCGGCGTAGGAAAGCATAAGCACCACATTAATGAAAATATAGACAAGAAGGGGCAGTACCAAAAAGTCATATAAAAGCATAATAAAAACAACAAGATAGTAAGGTGATCAACAATGAAAGAAAACAACGGATAGTCATAAAAATCTGCTACCAACAAAAAGCGAGACTGCGTGCTAATACTACTGTTATGAACACTCTATACTACCTACTTTACTACCCTAATCCTCGACCTCCATACCTTCCTATTTAGGGTTATGTCCTCGGTCACCTGAAAATGCGCCATATCTTGCCTAATCACCTCTCTCCACTTCTTATTAGGCCTACCACTACCTCTCCGTATGCCCTCCATGTTAACCTCTCACACCTCCTCACTAGGGCGTCTGTGCTCCTCCTCCGCACATGACCAAACCACCTAAGTCGTGCTTCCCGCATCTTGTCCTCAATAGGGGCCACACCTACCTTGTCGCGAATAACTTCATTACTAATGTCTAACCTGGTGTACCCGCACATCTATCTCAACATCATCATCTCTTCTACCTTCATCTTTTGGACATAAGCGATCTTGACTGACCAACACTCAGCCCCATACAACATCGTAGGTTTAACCATCACTCTGTAGAACTTACCCTTAAGTTTCAGTGGCACCTTCTTGTTACACCAGACGTAAGTCTCCATTTTATCCATCATGCCCAATATGATGTGTGATATCTTCATCAATCTCCGAATCCTTCTGAATAATAGACGCAAGGTACTTAAAACTTTCTCTCATAGGGATGACCTACGTGTCCAGCCTCACCTCCCCTTCCCCTCCTTGAGTCTTGCTACTGAACTTACACTACAAATATTATATCTTGGTCCTGCTCAACTTGAAACCTTTAGATTCCAGGGTCTGCCTCCATACCTCTAATTGTGCGTTCACAACGTCTCGCGTCTCGTCAATCAATACAATATCATCTGCAAATAGCATGCACCATAGCACTTCCCCTTGGATGTGGCGCGTCATAACGTCCATTACCAGAGCAAACAAAAAAGGGCTGAGTGGCGACCCCTGATGCAACCCCATCATAACCGGAAAATGGTCTGAGTCACCACCCACCGTTCTCATTCGGTCTTTACTCCATCATACATGTCCTTAATCAACCTAACGTAAGCAACAGTTACACCTCTAGCCACCAAACATCTCCACAAAACCTCCCTCAGAACTTTATCGTACGCCTTTTCTAAGTCGATGAACACCATATGCAAGTCCTTCTTTCTCTCCCTATACTGCTCCATCAATCTCCTAACAAGGTGATTGACTTATGTAGTCGAACGCCCTGGTATAAACCCAAACCGGTTCTCGGAGATATACACATTCCTCCTCACCCTTAGCTCTACCACTCTCTCCCAGATTTTCATAGTATGGCTAAATAGCTTGATATCACGATAGTTATTGTAATTTTGGATATCACCCTTGTTCTTATATACAGGAACCATCGTGCTCCACCTCCAGTCTTCGGGCATCTTCTTCATTCTAAAAATGATATTAAATAACTAGTGAGCCACTCTAAGCCTGCCTTGCCCAAACTCCACCAGGATTTCATTCAGCCCGGTCGCTTTGCCCCTGCTTATCTTACGCATAGCCCCCTCAACTTCATCAACTCGAATCCACCTACAATGCCCAAAGTCACAACGACTCCCGACGAGTTCCAAATCACCTAGTACATTGCTCTTGTCCCCCCCTCCTCGTTCAAGAGACTATGGAAGTAGGTCTGCCATTAAGGGGGTTAAATATACAAAAAAACATATATATAATATATATATATATATAATATATATATATATATATATATATATATATATATATATATATTATATATATATATATATATATATATAGTGTGTATGCAGACCTTACCCCTACCTTATGAGGATAGAGTTATTATCCCAAATCGTGGAGTCAGGGAGGGTAGTGTGTACGCAGACCTTACCCCTACCTTGTGAGGATAAAGATGAAAATAACTCGAATACTACTGTTATAAAAGTTAAAAACAATAATTTAAATACTTAATCAGAGGTCTGACGTTTGAGTCCCGGATATTAATCGCTTTGTTTATTTAGCACTTTACCTCAAATGTGAGACTTTCGAATTTAAATTTAGTCGGAATAAAAAAATATTTGCCAAGTACCAACCAAGTAAACGTGTCACATCCATGACAACGAATCCCACCTGCAAATGCAAATTATATTGTGGGCCTTTCCACTCTTTCCTTTTCTCCCCCTTCTCAACCTTCTCTCTCCCCTCAAACAATCAAAAAAAGTTTCACCTTTTCATATATATTGCTACTAAATTCAATCAAAATTCGGTTTTGTTTCTCTCTGTATATAATATAACTACAGATTTGGATAATCACACCTTAAATTTTCCCTCCTCGAATTCCCCAAACCCCAATTTCTAGTTTTTTTCTTGTGTAATTGTGATCAAAATTCGATTTTGTTTCTCTTTTTGTATATAATTATAGATTTTGATAGTTGGGTTGGGGGGGATTTTTTTTGAAAAATTTGAAGAAAAAAGATGAGTTTTCAAGATTTGGAATCGGGTCGGACTTTGGGTTCTAGAAGGTTCCACACAAATGGGAAGCAAGACCCGACCCAAGCAGTGGCGTCTGGAATTTTCCAGATCAATACTGCTGTGTCTACGTTTCAGAGGCTAGTGAATACACTTGGTACCCCTAAAGATACCCCTGAGCTAAGGGAGAAGTTGTAAGTGGCACTTAAAATTTCATTCAATTTTGATTAGGTAAGGTTGTGTTAAAGAACTGCTAACAGTACTTTTTATTTGTATTTGCGTAGTATTAGCACGAGATGATTTAAATGAATTAACATGGTTAGTAAGGATTCATATAGTCGATCCCAATTTGTTTGGTGGTAGTTATTCTTGTTGTTGTTGCCGGTGGCGGAAGCAGTATTTTCACCGAGGGATTCAAAAAATAAAAAAAGTAAACACACGAAGAAGATAAGGGGATTCAACATCTAATATATTACATGAAAAAAAAAATTAACCTTACATACACAGTAAATTTTTGGCGAAGGGGGTTTGATTGAACCCCTTATGCCCACCTAGCTCTGCCCTTGGTTGTTGCTATAGTCTGAGTTACATAACTAGTGTATGTGAGAGTTTTGCAAAGCGTTGTTGGTATAAAACTCGGTTAAAGAAGGATGGTCGTTATAGGTTGACGTCAAACTGAAAATGTCTGGTTATAATGAACAACAACAACGATCCAATAAAATCCCACTAGTGTCTAGTTATAATGAATTCTATGAATATTGGAGCTCGATTCGATATGTAGATTCATATAGTCGGGTCTAATTAGTTTGGGATTGAGGATAGTGGACCGCATTACTGTGTTTTCCAATTTTAGTGCTTAGCGGCAGTGACAAATGTTTCAATGGAGCTCAAAGATCTCGTACCTTTTAGCTTGTAGTTAAAAAATTAGTAGTTATTAATATGATCAAACATTTGTTTGGTGGTACTTGTGCTGAATTTGCTCTACTGCAGGCACAAGACAAGGGTACATATTGGGCAGTTAGTCAAAGATACATCTGCTAAACTTAAGCAAGCAAGTGAAACAGATCATCATGCTGATGTCAGTGTAAGTTTTTAAAGAGCTTGTTATTTCTGCTCACCGTCTTTTGTCGGTATTGATGGGCTGCACTTTCATATTATGCATAGTTACACACATATTGATCAGCTTATTTCTCCATGAGATTCTTTTATATTGAGCACTCATTCTTATTTTGGCTGGTCTTATGTGTATTTCCTGCTCTTATTTCCAACTTCGCTTACACTTAAAACTGAACTTCATATGCTATATGTGCTCAGGCTAGCAAGAAAATAACGGATGCAAAACTCGCCAAAGATTTTCAAGCTGTCTTGAAAGAGTTTCAAAAGGCTCAAAGACTTGCAGCAGAGAGGGAGACAGCATATACACCTTTCATTCCTCAAGCAGTTCTTCCTTCTAGGTAATGTCGGTGGCAATGGTTGTTTTTATGGGAATTATCATCAGTAAAGAGTTGCCGGCATATGCAGAGCTACATAAAAAAGAAACTTATAGTGCTATGAGTTTACTCTACAGTCGCATATTTATAGCCTTACTGAATCATACCTTTCTTTATAATTGTACCTTTCTTTATAATTGTTGCCTCTCATTTTTGCCCTTCATTTATATTACTGTGTCGTATACAGTTACACAGCCAGTGAGGTAGATGTTGCTGCCGATAAGAGTCCAGAACAGCGAGCACTCCTTGTGGAATCAAGAAGGTGAGTTAGTCTTGTCCTATTATTCTTTTGTTGTTTATTACTTCCTCCGTCCAACTTATGTAATACTCTTTCCTTTTTAGTCGTTCCAAAAAGATGACACCTTTCTATATTTAGGAATAATTAACTTTAAATGTTCATTTACCCTTAATGAGATAATTTGTAGCCACACAAATATCTATGACTTATTTTAGACCACTAGTTTCAAAGCCTTTCTTCTTTTTCTTTATTAAACTCTGTCTCCAGTCAAAACACCATCACATAAATTGGGACGGAGGGAGTACTGGTTTTTGTGTTTGTCTCTAAATTGTTAAACTCATTATTATCAAACTCCAGATATGCATTTAGTTAAAGAAACATCAATGGTCGAATTGGTTGCTAAAACTAACCAGCAAGATAGCCATCAGTTATTGGCATACAAGGAAATGAAACTGACCTTTGGGTTGGACCCAAGGTAACTGTTTGGTTAGTGCAAATTAGATAGAGCATTGTTTTCTAAAGTATAAAAGAAATCAGATGACAATTGAAGCTTGGGGCTTAGGGTGTTGGGAACAAGAGTTACCAAGGGGTGTAAAAATGTTAAATTAACTTGGTGTTACTTGTTAGTGATGTCTTTTAATAAATAAGTATTAATAGCAAAGTCCAAAGTTAGTTGATTAATAAAATGTACTAATACCCAAGTGTACTAGATTTTTATGTCTTGATTTGTTGGAAAAAAATTGGGCTTGTTGTTGACTGTGAGTTACTGAGCAAATGTAGCTCCTATACTTTTGTGAAAAGAGGAGGTAGTTGTTGGCTATTCGGACATTCATAAAATACTAGGGGCTCATCTATCCACGTAAAATCTGGGAGGGTAAATCAGAGGCCGATAAATTGTTGAATTCATTTGCTTGCATGAAACACAACTTAAAAACTTCCATTTGTTCGCCATGTCCAGAAGTTGCATTGACATCATTCTTTTCTTATGGAACTATACTTGTGATGTGAATATGACCTAAGATCAATGGTGTTGCGTCCTTATGAGATGTATCTTCACTTCTCATTTGGTGAAACTTAGCTTCTGTTTTGTGTTCCACGTGCCCCTTTGCTGCAGACAGGAGGTTTTGCATTTGGACAATGAGATTGCCTTCAATGAAGCTATTATTGAGGAAAGAGATCAGGGAATACAAGAAATACAACAACAGATTGGTGAAGTCAATGAGATTTTCAAGGATCTTGCCGTGCTTGTTCACGAGCAAGGAACTATGATTGGTATATCACTTCCCTTTCATTTTAACAATCAAAATCTCTAGGTGACATTTATTTGATATATATAAGTCTCTCTCTCTCTCTCTCAGATGATATTGGCTCCAACATTGAGAATTCTCATGCTGCTACTGCACAGGGGAGATCTCAACTTGCTAAAGCTGCAAAGACCCAAAGATCAAATTCATCTCTGGTACTTCCATCACTTATACATCCTTTCCCCGAAGATAATCTGGCTCAACGTGCTTAAGCAAGCTATGCTTTCTTTCTTTTACCTTAGTTTTTGTTGTGCTTATATTCCATAAGAAGTCTTGTGGTTAGTCTCTTGGATTGGAGAATTTAGTTGTGGACATATCGGAAGCTCTTCTATCATTAAGATATTGCATCTTGCCACGCTAAGAACAAATGGTGTTTAGATGCTCTAGTGACAGCATTGTTTAATTGAAGCGGAAAAGTAAAAAGTAGCTACAATATTCAGGTGACCGCTGTATGCATCTGCGCATAGTTGTGTCCAAATTTGCTGTGCCATTAAAGGCAGTTGTCATTAGAAGCTTTAAATTTTTATTAAAGAGTCATAATGACAAGTCAAGTCATGCGATTAGTTTCTTAGGTTTCATGTAGCGGACTATATGAGGAGGGGAAGGTTTTGGAAGGAGTATGGTAAGGTCGGAATTTTCATCCTGTGTAAGTGGGGGAAATATAAAAGAAGCAGGAAGTTGAATGAATGTTGAATTCTTTTAGACGGTTTGAATCTTTCAATCAAGCCACTCTTATTTTACTTCCTCAGTACCTCCTATCAGATGTAGGTAGAAAATACAAGTACTGATTTCCATTTCCTGTTACTTTACAGACAATGTATATATCTTTCCATCTTATATTCCTTGCAGTGAAAATATATCGAGAATGACTTCTTGACGTATTATCTTCTGCAGACCTGCTTGCTCCTGGTGATATTTGGAATCATTCTCTTAATTGTGATCATAGTACTTGCAGCATGATCAGAAGATTTTGAGATGGAGGAAAGGATCCTAATCTCTTCAGCAGTGAAGTGATTTTTGTGATTCAAGATGTTCTGAAGACACCATAGCGTATGCTCATGCCGGTGCATGAATCTTTTATCATACTAGAAATGTTGTGTAACTGTGACATGAAGTTTCATTAGCTGGTGGTAGTTGGAGGGGGAGGGGGGGGGGGGGGTCTTGTAAGGGTTTGTCTTCAATATTGTAAAAGTGTTTGGGTTGCAAAATGTGTTGCTACCATGTGATGGCTGGTTTGTCAATAAAATTTAATTCTTATTTGAAGGGACCATATATTCAATCTGCAATTTTGCTTGTTTTTATAGCATCGATTGGAAAACTCCTTTACATGGAACACTTATCGCCTGGCATACCCACAGGCCACAACCTAAACCGAAGAAAAGAATAGTTCTGAAGTATTTTAAATTAATTATGAATTCCAGCTGAGTTCTACATGTTTTATTCTAATCTTTTAATTTGTTACTTTTGGTCAAGAAAGGATCTCCAACAAAATGGATCTATACGGAAATCAATTGTTGTTCAATGAATTATCAAGTAGTGTAGTTGTAGAGAAGACTCGTTGAAATAATCCTGTTGATTAGAGGTAGAAATTCTAATAGATGGGTGATTAATTCTCAATCATTTATTCCTTTCTAGTTTCTACTGTCAATTTCCAACAAAACAGTATCAAGCATCATCAGTTAAAGCTTTTCAAGGTTCCCAATACATTGATAAACAAACAAGTTCCCGGTGCTCGCAGATCGACACGAATAAAAGAAAAAAATCTGTAAGGTTCAACTAGTCAAAACTGGAACGAAGTCAAGACTGAAACTGCACAAATTGTAGTGAATTACACATACAAAGCAAACAAAAATCTAGTTTTTTGAGGGAAACACTTGCTATAACTAGTTCTCAATAGTAATACATATAAGTTTTCAGATTGCTGAGCAGTCTTAAGGTACCTATCGTCTCCTCCTCCTCTTCTTTCGTTTATCATCACTTTCACTATCACTTTCCTCAGAACTGGATGATGATGATTCTGACTCGGATCCCGAAGATCCAGAATCAGATGAACTCCCGGACTCATCCGATTCAGAAACAGGCTTCTGTTGTTGCATGATAAGCCTTGGCATGTTCTTGAGATACTCTCGAAGATTTTCAGTAATTCCACCCAGACCAATGGAAGTGAAAAAGTTGATAGCAAACCTTGTATTCTTGGGATTATCCTTCGGGAAAATAGAGTCGAAGGAGTCTTGCATGTTGGGGTCATTAAGACGCTCATTCAACAAGCGGATGCCTAGGTGCTCTGACAACTCCTGCATAAATGACACATCTAGAGTGAATTTGAAGCTAACAGAATAATGTCCTATTACTGCTGTCCTCCCAAGCACCCCTGCCGTCTAAAAAAAGAAATGAAGCCAAGAATCCAGAAAAGAGCAGGAGAAAAAGATGTTGCGCGTGGTCAAAATGCAACTTTTGACATGTGGTGATATATTTAGTGATAAAAGACTTCAAACAGGTGGATAAATAGAAAGTAGATACTCGGAAACAGCAACTTTTTAAAAAAATTAGGCCACAAAGATCAGGGCAGCTATAACTTATTTGGAAAAAAAAAATGAAGCAAGCTGTACAAATAGAGACCAAATTATTTTACCTGGAATAGGATCTTGATAAATATACGAGACGAAGATGTTGTGTCCTCCTCTGTCAGCCGTATGTAAGCCAAAACATGCCAAGGCAGAGCATCAGTACCAAGCAAATGAGCAAAAAACTTGGCCACGTTACGCAGTTTATTAGTTTCAAGCCGGTGGATCATGGAGTATTGCTGCACAAAACATTTTTCGAAGTTTTCCTGATGAATTCTGTTGATCATACAAAAACGCTGCCCCAGTAGTCCATAGTAACGAAGATAAGTCCTCTCCTGACTGCAGCACTCCAATAACATGATGCACAACTCCATCTGCATGGACCAAACAAAATGTAAATCCGTTTTCTTCTCTTTTTGACAAAACCAAGCAAGGAGTCACTCATTAATACAAGAACAGACAATACTGCCTCAGGACAAAAATGATTACAACACCACAATCATTTTCAGTTTCACCCTGCCTCTGAGAGAAACCAAGTCAAGATACCAGGCTACCATTTACTTATTGAAAGCAAACAGTCAACAAGTCGGGGAGGGGGGGGGGGGTTTAAATAACGATCTAAGAAAATGTGAAACTGTTACGTCATATGAAATGAGAGAAAAAGATAGTTGTCACTAAGTGTGGGAAAGTGGTGTATCAAAGGAAGTGCAAAGAAAAATACCACCTTAAGCCTTGTAGATAACACACACAGTATGCAAGAAATGGAGTCAAATCAGGATGATAACTATATTTCTGGGTTGAGAATTTGGTATTAGAACTAGCCTCAAAAGCACACAGTAATATGTCAACCTAACTAATGTGTCCAATGTCCTCTTTTTATACTACTTCAGAAATTAACACTAAGAAGAAATCCCGGCAGTGATAAAGAAAGAAAGACGATCTGACTGAAACTCCACACCTCCAATACATCAAACCAAAGCATCAATATACTGGGAATACTCTCCTTTGATAAAAAATTGTTGAAAAGGTATACTCCTCATCTTAAGGATAGAACTGTCAACTCTTTCAAATGCTCCTCTATATCCTATAACAGTACAAGACAACACATAAATGTGCAATTTCCACATTTTCTCCTTTTTTTCTATGTTGCTGGATGTTTCACATGAGAACTAACATTAGCTGGATGGTACACTGCTTGTATACGGAGTTTTCCCCATTACAAGTTCACAACTACTACTACTACTACTCAGTCCCATTATTAATATAATTATTTAACTTGTTGAAAAACGAATATTATCTGGAACAACCTGATGGATTCTAAAGGAGAATATAAGAGATGCCACAAGTCCAACGCAACCTTGCAGTGAAGCAGCAGGTGACTTGTGCCCTTCCGATGACAATTACACATGAAGCATGAGCTAATTAATTCCTCAAATTATCAATGTTAAGAGTTGCATCATGCGTTACATGAATCTCCACCTCCATGGACCACAAGGCAAGTGAATTACATATCCCCCCCCCCCCCCCCTTCCTTCAATTGCCACCTCTATTCCTCAACCATCATTTTAGCGGAACCACAGAAAAAATGGTTTATGGCGTGCACGATTGAATGGCAATGTCCCTTTCTTTATTGAGAACGATTGAATGGCAATGTCCCTAAACTATCCATGACAAATACGAGGAAAAATTAAATTCAACGAGCTAGTTTTTTTATAGTTGTACTCTTTATCTGTATCCAAACACTAAGTTTTTGCTAGACCTATTCTAAAGTTCAACTACATTTTTTGGTTTAACTTGACCCTTCTCATATAATGACAACCAAAATCAAAAGCGACATTATTATCTTTCGAACATCAAAGCACATGAAAATCTATGTACAGATCAATCCATGTGAGCATGCATACAGTTATGCATAGGACATGGCTCGACAGGAGTAGAATAACGCCAAAAAAGAAGAAGAGAGATTAAGGCCTCATTTGTTTGCACTTAATGGAGGTCTGAATCTTAATCATTCAGATCTCAGACATTAAGTGCGTTTGTTTTTAAAGTCTTAATCTTTATTATTCAGATCTTAATCATTAAGTGTGTTTGTTTTTTTACTTTACAATCACTTAATGGGTCTGAATAGGTCTGTATGATTAAGATCTATAACAGAGACTTAATTTCATTAAGATGCTATTACATATTCATTATTAACTGCCGCCACCGCGTACCATTATCAACTACCACCATGCCGCCACCGCCGCCGCCACTGCCCCCCCCCCACCCGCCACTACCACCCCACCACCACCACCTCCACCTCCACCACCACCACCACCACGCCACCATCATCCTCAATCATAACCTCCATTATCGACCATCACCACCTACTATCCTCACCACTCCGACCACTATCATTCTCACCCACAATCAACACTCATCCGCATCAACTACCACAACTGACCACCCCCATCACCATCAACAACCACAACCGGCACTGCCCATCATTTTAACCTATCACCACTCGACATTATTAACTATCACCACCCACCACCACTATCCTCAATCATAATCGCCACCACTACCAATCACTACTAGCTACTAGCATGAACCAACATCATCAACCAAAACTACCACCAACCACCGCCTCTAGTCGTCATTCACCCGTTAGTCATCACCACCAACAACTATCATATTTTAAAAAACTACATATTTTATTGATAGAATATTAGATTAGTTAGTATTTCATTTGAATTTTATGTTTATTAATTTCCAAATTAAAATAAATTTTGTACATTCAGATGTTAAAAATCAAACAGTCTTAATTATTTCTATTCAGATCTTAATACACATCTTAATATATTCAGATGTGTATTCAGATTCAGATGTGTTAATCTTAATACACATCTTGATATTCAGATGCGTATTCAGATTCAGACGTCTTAATCTTAAAAAAAAAAACAAATGAGGCCTAAGATACCAACCTCCTGACCAGGCTCTAGTTTGATTTTCAACAGCTTATGCCCTGCTTCTTCGAAGTCAACACTAGACATAATCGTCAGATAGATCGTTCTCCGGAGGTTGATTAAGTTTGTCTCTGTCTCGTCCTTTATTTTCATTTGCTCCTCATCCTCTTCGTCAGACTCATCATCTTCATCTTCATCCTCTGATTCTGCATCAGACTCTCCTTCTTCCTCAGATTCTTCACCAAGTATTGCCTTCTTTAATTCTTCATACTTCCTTTCGTTTTCTAAGAAATTAGGATCCGGCTTGAAAATATCTGAGCATATAGACCAACATCAAAATCAAAATTCCATATAATTGCTAAAGAAACAAAATAGCAACCAAAAGCAGTCCATTATAATACCTCTATGAAAAACCAATTATAAAACATACCTAAAGTAATTTCTGGATCTATTGTATCTGAGAGAGAGACTTCATGTGTTAATTGATCTTCCTGCTCAACAAGGTCAAGTTCTGGACGCACAGCTGGGTAACCCTGAGGAGGATGCATGTCTCTAATAGATAAATAAGGAATCAAATATTTCTTCTTACTCAGAAAACAATTAAAAACTAAACTCACCTGAAACTTTGCTTTTCGCAATGCAAAGAGGCTTTCAATTAAGAACTGAACTCGTTTATCTATTTCTCCTTCATGAAGAATACCACGGAACCGCTCAAAGATTCCTATTTAAATGCAAAAAAACGCATTAGCATGACAAATACAGCAAAACTTTACATGAATAAACTAAAATAGAAATCGTGAATTACAGAACAAATTTTCAAGGTATACTCACCATGCAATCCTCGTGGACAGAGGTCCTGAAGCATTGAACCACATTCTGTAACAAAACCAACTGCAACCTCAACACTGTCATCAGTAGGTTTCTCCAATAAAACTGTAAGCAGTTCGAGAGCAATAAGCTCATGAACGATTTGCTGGTTTACAAGATGAGCAATAAATTTGACAGCTGCTAACAACTGAGGCTGAAAGAGTAAAAATTAAGGGTAAGACAATTATGAGAAGATTCGCATTACGAAACATGAATTTAATAACTAAACTAAATGGCTCACGTAACCCCCCCCCCCTACCCCCCCCCCCCACCCCAAGTTTCTCTTGTAGTGAGTGATATTCTCAAAGGAGGATTTTAAGGTATCTCTGTGACATCCAAATAAACCTTCTGTTCTCTGTCGTCCAAACAACAATAATGTACAAATATATATTATATTGCATAAATCAAAAAGACCTGCAAGCATAAAAGTAAGAGATACGAACCTTATCATTACGTTTATAAGCCCTTTGCAGCTGCAGTATGATCCTTCTTAACAAAAGATCACCAACTTCTGGGAACTTGGTGTTAACCACGGCAACCAACGCCGCAAAGACATCAGTAAAACCTGGAGAAGCCATTTGGGACTTCATACAGGATCTACAAAAGAGACCCCTCCCTCGAATCAAGTTTTCGGCAAATAACTCCGGGATAATGTTTTTGAGGTTTGCTGCATTAACTTTATTCACTAGCCCGTTAATGCTCTTCCTTAGAGCATCCCAAGTCATCCTCTGGTACTCGACACTGCTCTTGTCCTGAACCTCCTTCATCATTCTAGCCAATTTGAATGGCGGAATGTAAACACCGCCGCTCCTGCCCAACTTTGATGTGTCCATATTCAAATTAACATCTTGCTTTTGCACCTTGGAATCCTCCTCACCGGCTTTCAAAGCCCCATCCTCTTGTGCATTAGCTTTCCTATTTTTATCTTTTTCATGCTTATCATCGACCCTCTTTTCTCTTTCTACATCCCTCCTCCTCTCTTTCCTATCCCCTTCTCTACCATCATTATAACGATCAACCCTACCCTTGTATCTGTGCTCATCCTCCCTTCTATTAGGCACCTTCTCATCATCATCTTCCTGTCTCCTCCTCTCCTTCCTATCATCCCTTTCATCTACATTCCTTCGACTCCTCTCCATCCTATCATCCCTTTCATCTACATTCCTTCGACTCCTCTCCTTCCTATCATCCCTTTCATCTACATTCCTTCGACTCCTCTCCTTCCTATCATCCTTTTCATCTACATTCCTTCGACTACTCTCCTTCCTATCATCCTTCACATCACCATCTTCACCTTCATGTCTTCTCCTCCTCTTCCTCCTATCATCCCTTTCATCATCATCATCATCAACAACTTGGCTTTCACTTTTTCTGCTCTCCTTCTTATCATCCCTTTCATCATCATCTTTCAACTTCCTTTGTCTCCTATCATCTCTTCCAGCGTCATCTTCAAGTTCATCTCTTCTTCTTCTCTCCCTCCTAACAACCCTTTCATCCTCATCTACTCGTTCACTTTTTCCCCTCCTCTCACCATAAGCATCTCCATTATCGACACCTTCTCTGCGATTGCTACGATCGTCGTCTCTTTCCGGAGGGTCCAATCCCTTCTTGAGAGCAACTTGTGAACCGGAAAGCTTTCTACCTGAATAACCACGATCATCATCGGAGTCAGCGTCCCTGGAATCACTTCCATCGTCAGAATATGAACTCTTCTGATGCCTCCTAGATGATGGAGGAGGGCGATTCCTTCCGCCCGTATTTGTTCTACCAGCAGCCTCCAAAAGCATATCAGTTAACTCTTCTTCCATGGTCTTCTATTCCGCTCAGCTACTTGTCCAATAACAACTTCAATAACTACATGGAGAAAAAAAAATGCAACTTTTTAGTTACTAATATTTTTGATAACTTAGACAAAATGAGAGCAATTTATAAAACACAATAATTGGCAGTTTGACAATAAACAGACCTAAAACAAGGAAATATAAAACAATAAGTCTAAATCACCCAATTAAACCCTAAGGCTGTCTACAGAATACAAAAGAACAGGGAAATAAACTATGCTGATGAACCAAATAATTATCGATCCAGATCCATTCAACTCTATTAATCACTCAAAAATTCTAAAATCCAGCTCACTCGGCTATGTTGGTTTCCTTTTAAACAACCTGAAGGAGTTCCAAAGTCACCATTCAGATTCACTAGCTTCTTTCACGGAGCAACTTCAAGGAATTCATAAGGACTTTGAGAGCTTGCAACCTTTTCTAGAGTATATTGCAGAAGGGAGACAGAATGACTTTGACAATATTCATAGTTATGCTACACAATTGATTGGCAAATCATAGTTATCCGCTGCTCCATTGAGAATTAATAGAGCTAATTTCACTGGAGTTAATCCTTTCCCGATGAAAGATTGGATAAACTGAAACCAACTGTGGCAAAGACACTCCTTTTGCTGGGATTTCACCGTCAGCGACATTGTAAGGTACTATAAGTCTAAATCACCCAATTGAACCCTAAGGCTAAGGCTGTCTACAGAATATTAAAAAACAGGGAAATACTATGATGATGAACCAAATAATTATAGATTCAGATCCATTCAACTCTATTAATCACTCAAAAATTCTAAAATTCAGCTCAATCAAGCCAAAAATTTAGCATTAAAATAATTGCAAAGAGAATAATTGAAAGGATAACAACTAGGGTATACATACAATTTGATACGGCCGGATTATGACGAGAACGTGAAGACGTTCGCCGGAGGGAGATGAGAAGGAACAAATTAGGGCGCAGAGCAGAGAATGGTTGGCAAAAGCAGTAAGCGGTTCGGATTTTAGGGTCCGTTTGTTTGTTTTTCGAATGAACTCATTAGAAGGAGTTTGGGCTTGGGCTAAAAGTTCAGTATATTTTAAAAAAATAAATGAAAAAAATATCTGCCTTCACTCTATTTCTTCTCTGTATATAGAATTGAAGATTTAATTGAGCTTTTCTTTAACGAAAGAAAAAACAAAGCCAACTGAAGCGGCGAAAGTTTCCGATTAGGAATGGGATTTGGATATTTCGGAAAACAGGCTTTTTGATTTTTGAATTTTAAGAAATATATATTTTTAGCCGTTTTTAAGAATAATAGCTGACAAATATATATAACTTTGTATGTATATGTATTATATATTTGTAATATACATATTTTATACGTTTTTTGACAAGCGAATATACTTAGTTTTAGTCGATCGACCAATTTTGTATTTTTTTCCTTTTTCGAAAAAGGAGTTTGTGAAAGTTATAGCTAAAATCTTGAATAAATTAATTTAATTTTGATTGGAAGAATAACGAAAAATAATCCACATAATTCAGTATCTGATTTGTCTTATAAGAGCAAATAATTAGAGGTGGATCTAAAACTTTAATTTGATAGGTATAATCAGAAGATTTTTATCACTAAATCTCTAAAATCCATCATACTTTTGAAATTATATGATGAAAACATAATAGTTATCGGAATTTTAATGATTTTAACACACACATATGTGTACACTCTTATCGAAACGCTGAATAATTATACTCTCCATTCGCTACGGCAAATAATTATGTATAACTAATGTATTATTCACTTGGCTGTAGTATATAATATCCGTATTAAATTATGCAAAAAGATATATACTAATTTATGCAGAACAGAGCGTGGAATGAGAATACGTGTATTAGCCGTACGAAGATGAAGTAATTAATCACAAAACTACACTTAAATTAAACATTTTCTACGTAGCGTTCCTTTAAGATTATCTACTGCAATTACATTTCTCACGTTATTATTCACAATATAATAACACAATGCATAAACACCTCTTGTATTATAATTTTCTCATAATAAGATTGCGAATGGAACGATCCCAAGTCTTTTGAGGTATCAAAGAGAGGTGAGGTTTGTAAAGTAGGTGACGGTGAAGCCAGGATTTTCACCGGGGTGATTTCAATTATAAAAAAATGAACAATTGAAGAAGCCAAAGAAATTCAACCTCTACTATATATAGTGAATTTTTCGGCGAAGGGAATTCGGATGAACCCCTTTCCGCCACCCTAGCTCCACCCATGATTTGTTGAAATTAATTTACACCTTAATGAAACAAGAAAATTTGTAATTATAACTACATTGCAACTCAAGCAATATGATTTTATCTGAAATGGATTGTATTTCATTTTTCAACTTTTTGGACATTAAAATTTGGGAAAATGTAAATTGAATTATCGTACCGTTATTAACTGAATTTTGGGTAGTTTGACACACTCTATGTCCCATAATACAGTTTCCTTTTCTTTTCATACGTAGATTTCCAATACATGAAGACTTTTTAGCATTTATTTGTACTTTCGTTCTTCACTTTCATACGAATTGAGTACAAAATTTTCAAGCATTTATACATACTTCAATGGTAAAATTGCTTTTAAATACTATTCTCATGCAGTTTCTAACTGCATCAGATACCTGATGTGGGTCAGTCTTTTCCCTTTCCCAAACTCTAAATTGAACCTCTCATTCGATAGACTCGACCTTAGTCAACTCAGAAATGCAACTGATACCACAATGCATATATGCAAAAAAATAGGTATTTAATGAGCTTCACTTAGCCTGTCATTCCCTGTACAGTATGCTATAAGCTACAAAGTAGAATAACAATAAAACAAAAGAACATGGAGTCGATGTAACAAACGATATAGCAGTGTATACTGAAGTAAAGTTTACGAGGGTCACAAAGAAGAGAGGGTAAAAGGCGCATCAGTTGGAATATTGACAGCAAAACAAAGGCAGCAAAAAGTCTATTGAATCGTTACATTCTGATGGGAGCATAAAGCTTATATCACAGCAACAACCGATAGATATTTTTACATCTTTGTGTGCATGAGTGTAAAAAGAAAGGGGGAAGGGGCAATGTAAACTTAGATCCATTCAGCCTTATGTCAAGAAGAGAGAAATCGAGATGATCAAAAACAGGGTAAACTAGAAGCTAACAAAGTCCCCTATGTGCAAAGAGCCCAGGGACCAAAAGTGAGAACGCGTATTAGCAGCTCTCTTATAGGCAAAGGCCAAGTGACTTACAATACAGACACTACCTGAATTTTCTAACATAACTCAATGTACATTTTCTTTGATAACCAGATCATAGTTTTTGATTGTTTGATGTTAGTAGCCCCATTTGTTCAGTAAGCTGGTCCATGTGCTGAGTTTTGTCCCATCCATTTTCTTGTGGCTTGGTTTCATTGGAAATATCATCCATTGCAGCAGGGTCCATCTCCTCTGTCTCTCCGGGGGAAGGGCTTTGAAGAAACTTTTCCCAGAAGGGGTCACCGACACCAGGAAGCTCTTGTATATCATCCAGCAAACCAGTCTGCCATTCAATTTGAGGATCAGGAGAGAAACTACCGATTTCTAATGGCATTTTTCCGTTCGCTCCAACTGAAGTATCCATGAAAGAATCATTCTCCATCTCAGATCCGATAATATCCATATTGTTTCCAGGCAAAATTTCTTGCAACTGTGATAGCTCAGGCATAATCATATCTGTCGCAGAAAGCGAAACAGGAGGCAAATCCTGAGCTCCTACCAATGAGCTTATGTCTGAAAACTGGCTATTGGTAATTTCAGAAGATGAACTTTGACCAGCAATTGCTGAAGCTGTACTCAGCAAGGGCTGGCCAGAAGTTGATGGGACTTCCTGAAGAGTGACTCCTGAAACACGAGTGGAAGATGCATTAGATTGTGCTGAACCATCACCAATCAAAAAACTTTCAGGACTGTTGTTGAAGTTCTCTAATCCAGGAGAAGAATCTAGTTTTGAAAGCTCCCTAAGCATTGCCTTTGCAGACTCATTCATCACAGGTTGGTATTTCACAATCTGTCCATCCACAGGGATAACCGAATGATCCTGTGATTCAATATCCTGCTTAATCCTCCGTTTCTTGCTGCCTTCAGCTATGCGCCTATTACTCTCATTTTGCTGCTGTACAAACTGTGCCAAGAATCCAGGACTGTTAACAGCTTTTGCCAGGAATGACATCATCTGTTGCTGTCGTTGTTCCATACCCTGAAGGCGCTGCACCATCCCTTGCAACTGATTGTCAGTAGTTTGCTGCTGTTGTCTGAGCTTAACCAGCTCTTGCATAAGCACGTTCTTGTCCCTTTTCAGCCTCTCAACCTCTTCTTCAAGTCCAAATTTCCCAACCTCAACACAAGCCCCAACAGATGCACTCTGTCCATGTGGCTGCTGCTGTTGTTGAGCATGTCCATGAGCAGGTTTACGCCGACTTATACTTCTAAGCAGGTGTTTCTGACCTCTTAAGAATCCCTCATTAGCAAATTCCCAGCGGTCTGGATCAACCTTTCTAAAACCCTGTTTGTCAACAAAAACCCCAAAAAGAGAAATACAAAAGCATGAGTAGGAGTTTGATAAGCAGCACAAAGATCATTGCACCAGCTATTCGAAAAATAACAAAAACAATTCAAATCTCCACTCACACTCAATGGAATAACTTCGTTTCCTTTTAAGTGGAAAATTAGTATAAACAATATCAAGGTGCAATGAGTTCGTCAACATGAAAGATGGGAACTCAATAGTAAATCAAACTCAACCTATGACAGCGCAAGGGAAATCATCCCTGCAACCACATTCAATGCTAGAAAGTGGAGTCAGCCCCGTAAAAAGGTTGTGCCCTCTGTTTTCTAACCGGGCTGTGCTCTGTATTTTGGAGAGGAATTTATCTACTCCTTCAGCAAGCCTCAAGATCAGTGTTATAAATATGACGCAATGGTTGTAAGAGTTCTAAACTCTACATTGGAGGATAATATGACTCCGGTTTTGAGTGGCCTAATATCATTCATTAATAACACAAAGATAAATATGCACGAGCTCTCTGTCTTCATATTACTATGTGAACATATTTTGACATACAAATAAATAACAGAACTGAACGTTGCAAAAGTAAAATACCTGAATAGATGAGGATGACCTTCCTAAGGTGTAGATCATATATGATAATCTAGCGATATACGATTGTATGTATTTACCAATTTACCTGTTCGCTATTACGCTATAGCACTAAAATTAAAAAACACTGAACAGGTTATGGTGCAGGAAATAGAAACCCTTAATTCGAAAACAAGCTAAATGTTCTTTTGTTTGAAACATATGGATTCAAGACCACAAATAATAGATGCATTGCAGATTCCATGTCCCCATTTTGAGCAATCAATGTTACTTGGGTCCATCGCTGAAATGAATCAAGCTAATCTGATTTTAAGGCAACCAATTTCACGAACTTCCACAAGAAAACAGAAACCATAATGGAATAAAACAGATGTCTCTCTCAGTAGCACTTCAAAAGGCAAGCATCTTGCTTAGTCTTCATAATACCAGCAACAACAACAACAACAACAACAACAAGAAGGCTAAACAGATTTGGTGTTGAAAGAAAAGTTTACATTACAAGAATGGCATATACACTGAATTATTGCCCTATGTTTTTTCAAGTTATCTGATTCTTAAATTTTATTTTATTCCACTTTATCTTATGTGAAAAAGTGAGAGAATATCTTCCCTGAGTTGGATAAGATTAGATCTTTTTGTGAAGGAAATCAAATTTGTCGAAAAATATTTCTTACTTAGTTTGGCTACATTTCTTTAGTACTTCCTTTTAAAATTGTATCGAAAATAAAACACTGAAAGAAACTAATGAATATGTCTTTGCTAGGAAAATATACTTAAAGGGATTATTTTGAGACTCATCACTTTAGTGGCAAATATAAATTTATTTTTCATTCTTTCTTTCTTTTTCATTCCCATTTTCTTTCTTCATTTCCTTCTCTTCCTCTTGTCACATTTTTC